CGGGACGGAGCACGCCGGGTTCTCACCGGACCAGGCTCTCACATCACCAAGCGCGAAGCGCCGTGAGGTATTTGGCGAGTCGCATGAAGGGTGAGCTGCATCCTGCTAAGGGTGTTCGGCATCTTGTGCTTACTTCCTTGCGTACGGATGACAGCTACGTATGACTTAATTTATTTTCTGGTGCTTTCACTTCCAGAGACAGTTGTAAGCACTGTGTAACTGCCTCGAGGAAGCTTGACCATTTTAACACAACGTGGTGCGATCATCCCCCGTTGCGCGGAGTGAGGTTTCTCGACCCCGCACAACATGATCTACTCGACCACCATTATGGTTACCGCCAAAAAAAAACAGAGGTAAAAAAAAAAGACGGTAACCTGGTTGCCGAGTTCACGAAGTGAATTGGCTTGTTTTACAACGTCGTTGCCAATCGACGAAAACCCATAATGGGCAATGGTCAGGACGTATCAACGAACATACTGTAGGCGAAAGCAGCGTCCTGCAATCAGGCATAACAACTTGTGCTTTTCTGTACTTGCGGGAGTACTCGCCGCCGTACACAAAGGCTGGTCAATAAGAGGTCAAACCTCCTCTCCTTGAAGCCAGCGTTCGAGATACACTACACACGGGCCAAACAAAGCCTATGTGGCGGTTGTCACGACCATGGTGGAGCTATCGTCCGTCGCGTTCAGGAACCGGAGGTTTCCGCAAGGTAGTCGGTACGTCAAACTGGAATTTCCTAGGATAAGCGGCACCTCAGCCGGGGGTGTCAACTCCTGTTCCGCCGACGCGTATTTTTTGCTCGCTGGCGTGAATCGCGGCATCACCTGTCGCGCATGGCCTGCTTCATCGTGCAGGCTTGCGTCATATTCAGCAGTCCAGGGTTGGCGACGGGATCTGCCTGATGGTAACGCCAGAAGACAAGAGTATCCGATGGTAGCGTCGGCAAAAGACCGGGAAACGCACTTGCGGCAGAGGGCAGAGATAAACCTGCGGTATCTGGGGGGGGGGGTGCTGCATGGGACAGAAAACTTGGACGCGAGTCGTACTGCGAGATTCTGCGGGGTGCGGTCTTCAGGCGATTGCTCGCACGACGAATTTTTTCATTTTCAGCGCTTCGGCTGAGGCAGGCATCGAGTCCATCCGAAAGAACACCTATGCGAGGCTCTATTCAACGAACTCGCGGGCAAATGCATCTCATTGAGAAGTTGGAATACCCTTCGAAGGATTACCCATTTCTACGGCATGTGATACAGGACAGCCTACATCACCGTTCCTACAACGACTGGCATGAGGGACACGAGGTACGAAGTGGATCACTACGGTACCTGACGTTTCGCCCTCAGGCACACCTCCCGTACTTGGTACGTTGTTAAGGAAAGGACAACTG